ATGATGATGATGATGATGATGAAGGCTTGATTATAGTGAAGCAGTCAGAAACGCTGGCCTACAGGAGGACATCACACCCTGCTGGACCGCACTACAGCACAGATGACCACAGTCCTCCATAACCATCAGAGGAGATGAAGAACACGGGAGATCTGAGCTGCCTGAGGCTGTAGATGGGCTCTGTCTCCAGGTCCAGCATCTCCACAGCTCAGACTGAGCCTCAGAAACACCCGGAGCTCCTGCTGACTCAGCTTCCCAGTGAGCGGCTGCTGGAGTGATCAACATGTCAGTAAACTGAACATCCTGTACAGCCGACAATAGATTAGAGCTCTGGAAACTTCACATCAGTGTGAAAGCAGCATCAAGTGAAGAGATTCCAGAGTTCAGCGGTAGACTCAGGCTCTAGACTCCAGCACTTCCTCAGCTGTGTGTGTGTGTGTGTGTGTGTGTGTGTGTGTGTGTGTGTGTGTGTGTGTGTGTGTGTGTGTGTGTGTGTGCGTGCGTGCGTGCGTGCGTGCGTGCGTGCGTGCGTGCGTGCGTGCGTGCGTGCGTGCGTGTGTGTGTGTGTGACAGAAATGACCCTAGATCAGTGGTTCAGCTGAGTGTTCCTCATCTGAATGTCCTCCCTGCAGTTTACGCTGGTCATCTGAGGGCCGGTGGTGAGAGGATCACTGGATGAAGGTTTCCCTCTCGATAAAGATCCTGAACTGAACATTATCCTCCCCCCACACACACACACACACACACACACACACACTCCTCCTCAGTGCTAATGAGCTGTGGTTCAGCAGTGTCTTCTGTTCAGTTTCCTCTTCTCCTGGTTGTGGTGTGATGGGTCGGGTCGGGTGTTGACAGCTCTGCGCAGGGTTCTGCATATGAAACACCATTACAGTCAGTTATGAAGACGTCTCGCAGCAGAGAAGACACAGAGACACACAAACACAACACACACCCTGGAGAGATATTCAGCTGAGTCTGTGCAGCGCTGCTGTTTGGAACAGTCCCCTGACGGCTGATGGTAATTCAGTGACAAACACACACACACACACAAGCATGATCTTGAGAAGGCAAACCGCTCAGACACACAGCGCTTTAAGAGAGAGACGGAGCGCTCCTATAGGCACACGCCTTTTACCCACAATCCTCCAGTTCTGCTACAGAAGCAATTAGAAGTTCACAGGTTGGAAGTGAATCCCCTGTGGGATGTGATGGAGCAACACGGCCTGTCAGAGTGACTTCAAGCTGCTTATCTGCCAGTGTGTTAAGAGCAGAAGCTGATATCTGGAGCGAGCATCGTCCTTCACCCTCTCTCTCTCTCTCTCTCTCTCTCTCTCTGTGAATATTAATTTCTGTGCAGGTGACGGCGGCTCGTGTTGTGATGATCCTGCTGAAGACACCGGCAGCAGTCCTCTCTCCTCATGCTCATGTTTTGGGTCAGGCATGTCTGTAAAGCCAGTATTGCTGGATTACTCTTCTCCTGAGGCAGAGCTCGTCTTTCCTCCATTGTGGTGTTCTTCTAGTTGATAAAGTCTCGGCATCGTGTGTCTGATAACTCTGAGCTGGACGTGTGTGACTCGAGCAGCAGAGCGGGATGATCTGGACTCAGCAGAGCTGCACTTCTACATTGGGATATATGGGCGGATGGTTAATGACAGCAGATTCCCGCTGAATGTGTTTTAGGTCCAGTATTTACATGCTGTAGGGGTCAGTCAGGTCTCCAGGGCCCGCTAGAGGACCTTCACAAATCTTCTGCAGGGTGACTTTATTTATATTAATTAAAGTGAATCTCTGGATTCCTTATTTATTAATATTTTAATTACTTAAGATAATTCAATATATAATTGAAAAGGTTTCCACAGGAGGAACGCCTCTGATCCTCTGATTTGGTGGTCCTCTGGTCTGTGTTGTGAGGTGCAGGTGAAATCCTCTCACTCACTTTAAGATTCTACTGATCACTGTGTGCAGCATCTTCTGGAAATGAGGGACTGTTTCAGCTCTGTCTCCTGCAGTATTAATTTGAGTCGTGGCACTGACGTCTTTCAGTGTTTCTAAATCGGCCTCCTGTTGTCCTGGGTTGATTAAATGGATTGGGTCAGTAGAGGCACTGCCCTCTATCCGCCAGCCCCGTGCTCCTGATTGAAGGAGGTGTGTATCAGTGTAAAGGTGTGTGTGATTTTCACTCACGCTTATCATCAGTGACTTTCCTTACTCAAGTCATTTTCACTGGCGATGAGCTGAACAGGGAATCACTGCCTCACACTAGATGCTGCTCAATGAAAAACTGATAGACCACACACAGGGTGGCGTCGTCTTCGTCTCCCTCACGCTTTTCCTCTTCTGTTCGTCCTCCACTGCACGACCGAAACATGTCTGCGAAAAAGTTACAAGCCATGAAAGAAAATGAGGTTAAACGAATCGACCAGCAACTGGTGTCTTACTGGAGCTTCAGCTGTTCAGGCACACACACATGCGCACATTTAACATGGCACACCACACCAGAAGGAGGAGCTCTGTTTAGTTTTGTCAACAAACAGAAGGTAAGATGTCATATTTTACCATATCATGACACCTGATTAAAACAGTCCTGAAACAGAAGTATAGTGGTGCCTGATTTCATCCTTTGGCAAGCGATTGGTTCATTGGACACGTGTGTTGCTTACAGAATGAAGGAAAATCAATGTATGGACAAAAGCGGGTCAGAAATGAGACGTGTCCTGATAGCCCCGCCCTAATGAACTGATAGCCACACCCTAAAAGACTGATAGCCCCACCCAGTGGCAGTACATTTTGATGAAATATGGGCGCGCACAGATCCATAGTTTACACCAGCACTGCTGTATGCGTATTAGAGGAGGACATTTCGATTTCACTGTGACTGTAAATGCTGCTTGTACACATTTCAGGCATTAAAGGTTGTTGATGAGCGTGAGTGTCATGCCGGTGTACACAGGCCTCTATAGCAGACCTTTCCTTCCCATCAGCCCCTGCAGAACAGCAGATCCCGGTCTGAGACCCTCGTCTGCCCTCCAGACTCACTCAGATCAGGTTGGTCATGGACTCAGCCTTTGATTGGGCTCCAGGAGTTTCTCCAGAGCAAACCCGGAGCCCCGAGAGCTTCAGATCCTGCTTCGCTTCAGTGCGCCTGATAAGAGAGCGCTGCAGTTGCCCACCGAGGGGAGCTGCTGCCGAGGGATGTGGGCTGAGCACAGTATCTGTGCTGTCCAGCTCCACTCTCGCTCAGCAGAGGAAAACGCTGCAAGCAGAAACAATTATCCACAACGGCTTTCATCTAGCAGGACAGAGATATTGATTCTGCAGGTGCTGCAGGTTCTGCCCGACAGGGGGTTTATAGGTCAGCGTTTGCTCTGAAAGCTCTGTGTGCTGAACGCCTCCAGCTTGTGGAGACGCCGGCCTCTGTTTACCCTGCGTCTGAACTGCTTTGTTTCCTGCTAAATTAGTGCAGCTTCATAGGTTTGGTTCTGCTGAAGTGGTTTTGGATGGATCCAGTATTTGCATGGTCTTCCTTGAGCTCAAGCTGACGTTATGTTTTTGCATGCCCTCTGTGATAGCTGGAGCGCTCCAGTTCCCTCCTGTTTTCCATATGAACTAACCTGAAAACAAAGAAGCTGCTCCCCGCGTGAGTCTGTCGATAC